CTAAGTTACTAACCACATTCTGCAAATTTTCAAGCTTACTTTGCAATTTTGCTTGAGAAGCTTCAAGCTTCTTGACATGAGAGTCTCTTGCCTGTAAGAATGCTAACTTAGTAACAGTTGCGCCTCTGCCCATCCCCCTAACTCTTCCTGGTCTGTCTTTTCCTAGTACCTGACTCACAGCATCTTCCCTAACATTATCCGTGGATGTGGTGGAGTCCATTTCACTATCAATGGTCTTGATCATTTCCTGACATCAAATTTTATATCACAATATGTAGAAACAATCTTTAAAGTAACCTGAATAACAATTGAAAAAGATTTTAAGTGCTACTTACAATAGTTTCTGCAAACTCTTCCCTCACAGGTCTCCCATCAGAATGTGTATGTCCTGCTATCCACACCTTACTTCTAGTAACTTTTCTAGGATCAGAACTGTTTTTTTTCTACAAGTTCATGCACATATACATGAGTAAATTACTAATAAAAGTACCCAATGCAAAACAAAATATATACCATCTCATCAGCTAAGCGAGTCATTCCTTTGCGGCTTGTAGTATGAGGAATTTGACCCTTCCTCAGTTGCCTGTATTTCTCACTTCGTTCCTATAGACAAAAAGAGTCAGATGAGTATAACTATTTTAAGGAAATTAATCAAAGGAGTGTAAACAATAACCTTAAAAGCTGCTGTGCATTTGTTCTTAACCCAACTGTCCAGGCTGATGTACATTGGATGTTGCTAGGCTTCAGTTTCTGTAGAGCAACTTTGCTTTTAGCAGATCTCACTTTGGTAACAAGCTTGGATTTGGCATCCCTCCACAGACCACCCATTTGCCTAAATACTGCTTCTTTCTGCCAATCTTCTTTTAAATTGAACCTCCCATGTCAAACATTGCCAAGTTAAGGCACAAACAACACTCTCATATAAATTTTATTCAAGCAAAGGTGAAAAATAACCTGAATTTCTTCCCACATAACGTCTTTTGTCCTTTGATCAAGCTGTCTCCAATCATCTACCAATACAGGCACATGCTCTCTCACTAGAGGACCAAGGAAAGAGGAGAGTGTCACTGATCCCTTACCAACATGCTCACCAAGAGCATTAAACTCCACTTCTACCTTATCCTCAAGATTCTTTGCCACTTTACGCATTCTAGTTGGACCTCTTGACTTCCTCTTTTTGTTGTCTGACTGGTTTGTCTGGGTTTCAGAGGCACCTGCTGTGGAAGGAGGGATTGGATCTTCCACTTCATTCTCTCTTTCATTCTCTTGAGACATACCATTATCTTGTTCTTCATTATCTTCTGCTCCATTCTCTTGTTCTTCAATATCTTCTTCTCCATTAATATCTTCTTCCTCTACACCATCATCTCCTTCAGTAGCCACTTCTATTCTCTCTTCTTCATTGTCTCTTTCATTCTCTTCAATGATAGACTTATTGTTTCTCTTCTTCTTCTTCAATGACACTACAGGAGTGACATCAAGGCCTGCCTGGCGCTTACTGCGACGGATTGCAGTAACTTGGTTCATTGTTTTTGATTACCTGAAACAAAAATAAAGTTTTAATTAGTCCTCTACTATAACACCTTCACAATCAGACCTAACACAAAAACTCTCGTCGTCAGATGATTGATCTCCTAAATCTTCAATTGGCTGAACTGATAATGGTCCAGAAACAAACTCCTCTACTGTTTCTAGCTCATGGTACCCTCTTGGTGGCGCCCTCATACAAACATACCAAGGTGAGCTGTCATCTTCTCTAGAGTAAAAAACTTGTTTAGCCTGCGATGCCAAAATGAAAGGATCATTTAAGTATGCTGACTGGTTCATATGGAGATTGACAAGTGTGAAACCGTCTTCCTCTTTCACTCCATTCCCTTTGTTAGCCCAAATACACCTAAAAACTGGAATCTGGAACATGTGGTAGTCCAGCATCAAGATCTCCTTTATCACTCCATAGAATGATACTATATCTGCCATTTGTCTAGTATCTTTAGCACTTGATCTACACATAGAAAATGCTTCATAAGTTATTCCACTATTCTGGGTTTTCCTCTTGACATCATCAGTGTGGAACCGCTGACCATTAATTATATACCCCTTGTAAGTTTGAGCAATATGTCTTGGTCCAAATGCAAGCCATCTCAATCTACTAGAATGATCTTTTGAGTTACTTGGTATCTAACATGAAACAGAGAAACATAATGTCAATGACATGAAATTAAAAAACACTACACAATTGACATTCTTCTAACCTTATCTTTGATCCATTGTGGGAACCTTTCTGTGTGATATTTCCACAAGAGTGTTTCATTCTTTGCACATCTTACATCTGTAGCTTGCAGTTCTTCCAAATGCAACCTGTTTTCAATAAAGTTATTCTTTGTTACACTTTAATCATCAAGCTTTTAAACATAAATTTGTATTAGCTTTGCACTTACTCTTGACCTTTATCCTGTACAGTCCCATGATTGCAGAAACCTTTGTGTAGTTCATACATGTAGAGTACAATGGAGTTTCTGCATCCTCTAACTTCTTCCTAAACTCCCCTTCTTCTTTACTCTCTACTGTTTCAGACTCTTCTACATTATTCTGCTGAGATGATTGCTTGCCTTCGCTTTCCATAAAAGCTGTCCTAAACAAGTCATAAGCCTCATTTTCAGACGCATGAACATCTGTTATCTTATCACTTATCTCCCCGTGTTTACTCCAACATTTGCTTCTCTTGTACTTAAGATCCATCCCTCTAATCACTAGATGCTCCAACACTGTCTCATTTGACTGATGAACCACATTCCGGCAATCAACGCAAGGACAGAACATAGCTAATACATTACCCAAACAACTTGTTGCATCAAGCACAAACTTAGTTGCTCCTTCCTCATACTCAAGGCTATTCCTGTTAGCAATCAAAGAATTCAAATAAATCAAAAAAAGAAATCACAGACCCAAGCTAGTTCACAAAAAAATCAAAGAAGAAGAAGGACAGATATTACCTTGGTAACCAGACCCAAGCTTTATCCATGGGAACAACTCCGACCAAAGGTGTTTACACAATCAACAACAAAACAATTGCATGCAGTTAAGCCACAACAACAGAATGACGAGATCTGATAGCGACAACAACAATAGAGAACAAGTGAGATACCTGGTAGAAATCGAGCAAGAACACGAAAACAAGCGAAAGAGGAAGCTGGATTTGAAGCGTTTTCGGTTACAGAGACGAGATTTGTGTAAATCGATTGAGACACCACCACAAGCGAAAGAGAAAGCTGGATTGTCGTGTATTTGGTTACAGACACGAGATTGAAGCTGGAGACGAGAAGATTTTCAGAACGATACGCGATTTCTCTAGGAGACGATTGAGCTTTCAGAGTGGAGATCGATTTGTGTGGGAGACGAGAAGATTTTAGGGCATGTGACTGATATTTGTGAGGCTCGAGTCTGATTGATGAAGATTTGGCGAAAATCGAGCAAAATCGAGCCAAAATCGAGAGGGAGAAATTTTAGGTCTAGAAATTTAGGGATTTTTGTTCTTTTGACCTGAGGAGCCAAAAAATTTCTAAGTATCGCGGGTTTCTTAATTACCGCCTAACCATATCATAGCGTTTTAAATTAGCGGTCTGCTATTAATAAGCGTTTTAGAAAAAACGTGACAAAAGTTTTTAATATTACAATATATTATAGCGTTTAAAATACACAAACGCTATCTTTAATAAAATGGTTTCATAACCATAGCATTTAGCCCACAAACGTTATGTTATACTGCTATAAAAACCCATTATTCTTGTAGTGCTTGTACCATTTAATCAATCAAGTCTTTGAGTGCACTCTAGTATAGACGTGGGCTCTTGATCCTCATTTATATTCATAAATTCAAGTGCTACCTTGCATGCAAAATCATCTTATGTCGACATTTCTTATATGTTCCATTATGTTCAGACATGATATAATCGATTTGAGATTTATTATGGTCAGGACCTTTAATACTTTGCAGCTTGGCGTCCCAAGCTACATTATATGGTACATGTACCTTAGAGCCGGCCGGCCTTATCTCCATGTCTGGGATGGTTTCCTTAGTAACCTCGGATTCCAATTGCACCTTTCTTTAATTTTCGAGGGTTTTTATCATTTGGAACTTATTGGTCTACCACGTTTCTTACGCTGTCTAGACTCTGTAGCAACTTGATTGTGTTCCTTGTGAACATCAATACGTACTGGTGTATTACAAGCTGGTATGTACGCTTTTATAACTCTCTTTGGGTCATCAAAGGAATCTGGCAATTCATTAGCTAGCTTTTGCAAATTTATTATCTTATGAACCTCTGAATCACACATCAGAGTCCGAGGATCTTGCCAATTTAAGGATGTTTGATTTCATGATATTTCTTTGACCAACTTGTTCGTCTCTCCACCTATATTAGGAAATTCGGATTCATTAAAATGACAATCTGCGTATCTAGCCTTAAATAGATCACCCATGGTTGGCTTTAGATACTTAATAATGGTGGGAGAATCAAATCCAACATATATTCCCATCTTTGTTTTATGTGGTGGAGCAATCGGTACATATACGGCACACCCGAATGTCTTTAGATGGGATATGTCTGGCTCATGACCCGTTAATAATTGGGATGACGAATATTTATGTTCACTAGATGGCCTTATGCGTATAAGCTCTGATGCATGTAAAACAGCATGTCCCCAAGCGGCTACTAGAAGCTTCGACCTCATGAGTAATGGTCAAGCTATCAATTAAATTCGTTTAATGAAAGATTCCGCTAATCCGTTCTAAGTATATACATGTGCCACGGGATGTTCCACACTTACCCCCATGGACATACATTAGTCGTTAAACGCTTGGGACATGAATTCACCGGCATTATCTAGACGTATAGTCTTAAGCGGAAAATCTGGAAAGTGGGCTCTCAGTCTTATGATCTGGGCCATGCGGTATTTAAGACCGAATCATGCAATCGATTTTAGACTAGTCCATGCGGTATTTAAGACCGAACCATGCGACTATCTTGTCTATGCATCAATGAGGACCATGAAATATCTAAATGTCCCACATGGTGGGTGTATTGGTCCACATATATCCCCTTTTATCCTTTCCAAAAAATTTAATGTCTCTTTATTTATCTTTGCCAGTGATGGCCTTATAATGAGTTTTCCTTGTGAACATGCTTCACACGTGAGATTCTTAGGGATAACTCTTTTCTCTTTTAGGGTGTGCCCCTTTGAATTTATCATAAGCTTACGCATCATACTATGACCCGGATGGCCAAGCCGGTCATGCCATAAAGTGAACTTTTCGTTGGACTCTTTCATTGCCATATTAGCTTCGATCATATCGATTTTAGCATAGAAGAGACCAGTGGATAATGCGGGTATAGTCTCTAGGACTTTCTTATGTCCTTTGGTGATCTCAATTATATTTAGGAATTCTTTGTTCCCTTCACCCTTTGTTTCAATATGGAAACCATTCAATCTTATTTCTTTGAAACTCAATAAGCTCCTCTTTGAGCTGAGTGAATATAAGGCATCGCTTAGTTCAAGATGCGTGCCATTTGGTGATAAGATATGGACTTGGCCGTAGCCCTCAATAAGACTAGCTATACCCGCTATGGTGCTAATATTGGCATTTTTCATTATGAGATTTAGGAAAATATCTCTTGTCTTTTAAAATTGTGTGGCTCCACTATCCACCACAAGTATGTTCTTGTCCTCGGCCATTTCTTATATGGACAAGAATCATGTTTTAAACATAAAGTAATATAAAATAAATTCAAGGAAATAACAATCAATGAACACATAAAATGCAAAGAAAAACATAGAGGTTTTGATGTCGAAGTCAGATTTATCAACTTGATTCTTTTAGGCAATCAGGAGTTTTATACTCCATTAGATCATCTTGATCATGTTCACCATCTTTATATACCAAATGGGCTTTAGGATTCTTCCTTTTCACACTCTCTTGATAGAGGTTACAACGATGTTTGGAAGTCCTACATATCTTAGCCCAATGGTTCCCCATTCCACATCTATGGCATACTCATTTAATTTGGTCGAGTGTTGTGGTTTGGAAATACCACATCGTCCTCGCCCTCGACCACGGCCGGAATTGGGTCTACATCCACGGTTATAGTGGTTCCCACGGCCGGATGAGTTATAGTGGCCACAACCACGTCCTTTCCATCCACTACGGCTACGGTCGTGTGGTCTATCTCTATGGACGTGGTTAGATTCTTTGGATTCTTCCTTATCCTCTGCGGCCTTATTGGCATCAGGTAATGGGGTTAATCTATGAGGTCGTAATTCACTGTTTTTATCAGTAAGTCATTATTTTGTTCATCTAGCAATAGACTCATCCACAGACTTATAGTCCTGGATTATGAGACTCTCAATAAGATGGTGGCTAATATTGCCTTGTATCTATCTTCTCTCTTGGCATTATTGCCTTATTAGATACATTCACCAAGTCCTTTTGACTTTTAGGATAATCTTAGTATCTATTGCCCATTTTAAATAATTATCTCCTAAGAGATTTAGGACAGTAAAATACAAGTTGTAATTCAACATCTATAAAGAAAAGTTTTGAGTCAAAATCATGTAATCGTTAGTGTCATGCGGTATTTGAGACCGAACTATGAATCGATTTACTTAGGGATTTGACTTTCCTCTTTTGCTTAGGATTAGATTTCCTCTTTTGCTTAGGATTAGATTTTCTCTTTTAATTAGGGTTAACTATTCCTTTTCCTTTTAGGATTTACTTTCCTCTTTACTCTAGGATTAATTTTCCTATTTCACTTATGATTTAAGATTTCCTATTTTATTTAGGATTTGGAAAATTTTTATTTCTTAAGGTTTTCCTATCTTGAATAGGATTTATGAATTTCCTAATTTAATTAGGATTTAGAGTATTTTAGAATTTCCTATTTACAATAGGATTTAGGATTTTATTTAGGTTTTCCTGCTTTCTTTAGGATTTAGCTTTTCCTATTTAGAATAGGATTTAGGGTTTTTCAGATTTCCTATTTTAATTAGGATTTTAGGGTTTTACTATTTTCTTTAGGATTATCTTTTCTAAGGTTTCTAGGGTTCATGCGATTTTAGTTTTAGGGTTTCTAACAACTTATGCATGTAATCAATCAAAGAAACAATCAATCTAACAACCTAAACAACCTCAACCAAGCCGATTTATACTTAGGGAATTTCGGATTAGATCCGATTTAGTTTTAGGTTTTAGACTTTTAAAGTTTCGGCCATTAGCTTAGGTATTTTCGATTTTTGCGATTTAGGTTTAGGTAATAAACTTCTCTAACAACTTAGGCGAGTTTAGCTTAAGCAATAATCAACTTTTCTAGTAACCTAAACGAGTCAAACAATCGGATCTCACAAGCAATAGCAATCGCTTAGACAATCAAGGTTCGTTTTAGGTCTTAGCCGTTTGTTAGATCCAAATTCGAGTTGGGTTCTTTAGCTTTAGGGTTTGTTGTTTTACCTTTCACCTTTGGGGTTGTATGGACTAGAACCGGGAGCTAAAGACCTCGGTTATCAACTTGTCACGAGCGTATGGTGCTAGGAGGAGATCGCCGATCAAGGAGCAAAGCGAGCGGTCGGCGGTTGGAACCTTCGGGCGGCGGACGAGCTCGGCGACTTTAGATTTAGGGTTTTAGGGTTTTCATTAAGAGCAAGTCGTGTTGATAACGTGTTATGAATCTCGTGTATTCTTCTTATTAATGAATGAGGTTACAACTTATATATATATATATATATATATATACACAATAATGGAGACAAATCTCAATTGGACTAGGAAACCCTAAAGCCCACTAAGACTAACATAAACCGTCATTGGGCGAATCTTCTAGAAGATAGACATGGGCCTTCTAGAACATGGACATGGGCTTTCTAAAACATAGACATGGGCCACAGTTATGGAGTCCATCCGTAATGTGGTTTACAACAATCTAATAATATATCTATTCTTAATTTTTAAAATCATGGACAATCTTAAAACCATTTTAAAACAAGAGAAACCATAGTTTGAAATATAGACAAGTGCGTGTGAGTGTGTCATAATTCATAAATGCGAAGACAAATGTTTGATCTTTGATTGTAATTTCAGATACTCACGGACTTCCCTACCTCTTTCTGATCTTCCCGACCCCATCAACACTTTTTTGTTTCTCTATCACACATATAAAATCGTATTTTGATTAATACAATTTTCCAGCCATTTTGCCTCTGTCCTCTCCTACTTACTCTCCTCTCTTTTGTTTCCAGCCATCACTCACGAGCCCATTTATGAACCTTAACCCTAATCCAATGTATATCTCCTCCCACTTATATATCCCTCACATTATCATACCAAAACTCTCTCTCAAGAAACAAAAATAATCACTTCAATATATAAAACGTCCCAATGTTCAACAGAAGATTGCATATTGTCATCATCACTTTAAACCTTATATTCTTGTACGCGGGAGGGCGATTAATACCACTGGAGAGTGTTCCAAGCTCGTCTATGATGCCTTTATCGGTCGAAGACACTGTCAAAATGAATCCGAGGAATCAGATTTTCCATGGGACACACGTAAAGAGTTGTATGCCTAAAGGGTTCCGACCAAGATCAGCTCCGAGCCGGTTTGTAAATTATCAGCCTCTTGTTTCCGTTAAGTGTTCCTCATCCAAAGTAACCTTTCGGTCCAAGATATCACCTTGATTAATTTTCTTTTCTATTTGAGAGTTTAATTATACAAAATAAGAATGATGTGTTGATTCTTTGGGTGTCGATAATTATGAAGACCTATATGTAATGCAAGTATGTGTTCTTATATATCTTTTTTATATAATTTTTTTTTTTGGATAATTTCTTTCTTTTATTTCTGGTTGTTTTGGACCAATATATATATACCACCTAATTATGATGAGTTGAAATTGATCACGCGACGCGGCGTTTCGGATCTACGTCGGGGTCTCCGCAGTCCAACTTTGCCATGAGCCGAACTTTAGAGAGAATTTTTT